AGGACCTGCCGTTCGGCCTCCTTCAGCGGCAACACCGGGCGTTGTGTTTGTGGGTGGGTAGGAGGACAAGCTGTTAGCTTCAGATCTATAATTTGTAGCAGCTTGTAAGTGGCACCCCCTCTCCCTGCCCTCCAGGAGCTAAAAACAGCCTGAAAGGTCCCTCTTCCCTGGAGGAGGAGGCGTGTGGCATCCACTCGCGAGATGCAGAGTAGCAGAGGCGTTTTATAGCCCCCCGTGAAGTGCTGCCGTGCCCATGCCCTCGCCTAGCACACACACTCCCCATCCATGACGGTGCTGTAGCGTTCGTTCAATCACAGCCTGGTGCCCCTGCAGCGCTCATGGGGGGCACAGGGTCCCTGACGGCCACAGGGTTGGCCACCCAGGCACTGGGTTGCATGGTGGGATGAAGGATGAGGTGAGGAGGATGGCTCCAGAGCACATGAGGATAGGGGTAATGGAGGAAGCTCCTCTCACTTGCTCATGCTATTCCCCATTGTTATTTCGAGCAGAGAGCCCAAAGAGGCCCAGAAACAAGAACAGTCCCACCACCGCTGCCAAAGGGCACTTCTCAGGAGTCTATCAGGAGTCCATCACCAGATGCTTGTGGGATGTCAGTCCTGCTGGAGAGCCATCCTATGCTGCCTGCGGGAGGGAAGCCAACCTGGAGGACACGGTGTCCCAGAGGTGCAATTGTCCCACCGATGTGACTCCCTAGGAAGAGTGGAGGCACAGATGCTCTAAGTCTCCATAGTTTCAGCCATGAGACTGAAGGTCGCAGAGCTCCGTGAGAGTCATCCTTCTGGTGGGCCAAAGAAAACCTGTTTGGTTTGACAGAGCAGACACTTAAAATTACTTTGGCTGTACGGACCAAGTGTTTTCTTTGCAACAGCAGGGTTTTCATGAACAGTTTTCCCATGGTTCATTGCCCTTCAATATAGAAACTGTGTGAAACGAGTTTTCCATTTCTTGTAACAACGCCCTATCTTCTGGTAATTCTGCTCAGGCATCCATAGGAAAAGTGAGGAAATCAGTTTTTGTATTGTAAGGATGCATCCCAGTATGTCAGGCCGTGAGTGAGGCAGAGCTGATCACAGAGGTCATTTGATGTAGGCTCCCTTCCCCACTCCACCACTGATTGCTTTTATGACCCTGAAGAGTCACCCCACCTCTGTTTTTCCCCCTCTTTAAGCGGGATTAATTATATCCAATTTCACGGGATTCGTTGTGATCTAAAGGTATTAAATGCAAAGCTTGTTTATATGTTAGTGTCTCATCACCACCAGAACGGGCAATAGCCAACGATGTTAAAATACATGAAATTCAAAGCTGGTGAAAGGCAATACTTCTGTCACCAGTGTCTTTTTGCATTGGAAACACAGCCATGACCTGCTGGTCAAAGTGGGAGGAGGAGCAGCACCCACTCAGGTAAACACAGAGATCTGTCTGATTTTCTCCCAAAGAAACCAAGCAGAGAAAGGTTTGGAGCAAGGTGGTGGGAGAGACTGAGGCTCTCACAAGGCACTTGCCATGACAGCCTGGAGAAAACAAACCTCACGCTTCTCGCCATGGCACATCTCGCCAAGCCTCGAGAGTCGGCAACAAGAAACACCACCATAAACCCTCCGTGCTCTCAGGAGTAACAGGGTTTGTGTCCGATAGCGTGACAGCAAGCCTTCTCCTCAGAGGAGCGTGTGGACGAGTTCCTGCAAGGCTGGACATGCTCAGCCTGTCCCCGGTGTTGACGTTGTCCGGATGCACAGAAGCGCTCGCTGGACAGCATGGCTCCCGCGGGACACTGGGGACACAGCATATTTGCTGTTTGGTTTGGGATCCATCGGAGCTCTTTTCTGAGTCGACTTTGGAGGGTGGAGAAGCCAAAGGCTGCAGCTCGCTGGGGAGACGGGTGTGCGCAGCCACTCGGCACCAAAGCAAGGATGGGCGCATCAGAGCAGAACAACTATTTCTGCTCTCGATGTTGTTTCCCAGTTTCTAGCTTCATGATAACACACTGTGATTAAAAGACTCTAGCAGTAAGTATTTCAGCGGTTCTGTCCCTTCGGTACAAGGCATCCCGCCCACGACGCGTGGCCATGCCAGGGCAGGAGCCCTCTACAGCTCCAGTGCTGCCTGCTGCCCGAGGAGCAGTGTCCTCCAGACCAGGCACCCCGCTGCATCCAGCCTGGTGTTAATTACAACATCAGCATCAAACAGAGACTTTTTAAATGAAAGGGAAGGACTAGCAGCTTTCTAACTCTGCCTTTATTTTTTAACCCCAATTAGGAGACGCATTGCAAGGGAGAGGCAGTGGCAGATAATGAAGATAAATGGGATGGTCTGCGTGTCAAGTGGAGAACCAGGAAAGCCTCACACCCTGATCCCAAATTGGACATTGATATGCTGTGTGGCCTCCTCTCCTGGTTTTCTCCATGTAAAGTGGGGGTGATGCTTAGCCCAAGGGGCATTCCACAGATGAATTAGCATTTGGAAAGTGCTTTGAAGATTTAAAGTGTTATATAAATGCTAAGTGTTAGCATCATCAGCTTTTATATTGCAGCAGAACCCAGAGACTGCAATCAAGATCAGAGCCTCTCTTTGCTGTACCAGGAAATTTAGAAACTCCTGGTTGGAAAAAGCCCCTGTCCCTGCCTCTCCAAGGCAGGCAGGAGAGCGGCTGGAATCACTGTCAGCTTCAAGGGGAAAGGTTGCCGGGAGCTTTAGCACCTGGTGGCATTCCCAAGGGATGAACAGCATGGCAGGCACGCTTCCCACCACCACGCATTTCACTGAGGAGAGGCAAGACCCAGCCCCTCAGGTTGCCCAGAGAGTAACCACTGCCTTGGACTGGCAACCAGGGGCTCTCCGGACCCCCCGCATTCCCCCAGCCCCCTGAGTGTGCTCAGCACCACTGGATGCCCTGGCCTGGGCCCTCCCGAGGTGCCCCCCGCCTGAGGTGCCCCCCACCCAAAGCAGCCAGGTGCTTGGGCAGCAGCTCCTGACCTCCCTTGGGAATCCTTTGGGAACTGCACGCTGCAAAATGCACACACTTCTCCCAGGGAGTTCCAGTCCCACCCGTTGTTTTGATAGTACAGCTAAAGCAGACTGACCTTAAAGTTTAGGAAAAATTGAAGAAGTACTCACAAAACAGATTTGATGGGAGATTAGCATTAACCAGCGTGCACAAAACCAGCTGGTCAGCTTCATTTCCACCACCTGACCACTGCAAGATATTTCATAATTCTGCTTCCTTTCTAATCAGATGAAAATACAACATGGGTGTTAATCACAGAGCACAAATAGGGAATAATATGTAAAAAAGAAAAAACAACCTTCTAAACCTTTGTTTTCAATATAGTTTATGTCACGCATTGCCTTTAAAAACGCCGGTAGATGAGGTGATGTTATGTGCAACATCATTCATTAAAAAGTGTGCACTCAGTCAGCCAAGCACAAATCAACATATGACAGACTACAAAGAAATACCAAAGTAAAAGGAAACTTGAGATGAAACAGAGTGAGGTCATTGGTTTCTTGCATTACCCTGGAGATGTTTGTCAAGATTTTAATTTAGCCAAATGGCCACCATTTAAAAAAAAGAAGAAAAAAGAAAAAGAAAAAACTTTGTTTTGGCAAAATCATGATCTGGGGGAAAGAACTTTTGAAAAAACACATTAACCATTTCCACTCCGCACTTCTGAATGAGTCCTGCTGAGAAAAGGGAAGGGACGTATGTGCAGTCTGATGGCATTATCTGTGAGAGAAGCAAGTAGAAATCATTCCTTCAGATTTACAGTCTTCTCCTCTAGTATTTATAGGACTTGTAGGTTGTAAACACACGACCGAGATATGGCAGGGGTTGTAAGGAAAAATATCTTGGATCTTGCCTACATCTACTGCTCTCCTTAGGCAACACATCAGTATGTGCGAGCAAGGCAGACCTCAAGATAGGAATTCAGCTGATAAAGTGAATGCAAATTACAGCTACCATGAAATGCCCCCTGGCTTTCCAGTGCCATGTCCAGTACCTCACTGGGGTGAGAAGGTGCCCATGTCAAACCACACGCTGCTGTTGTTGGGCTTGGGTCGCGCTGCAAGCACATGGGAACGCTCCCACGGGGAGCAGTGGTGGGACCACGCTGCTGTTGTTGGGCTTGGGTCGCGCTGCAGCACATGGGAACGCTCCCACGGGAAGCAGTGGTGGGATCTGGACATGCTCAGCACCCAGTTGTGGCCATCTCACCCCAGTGTGGAACCCACTGCCCCACCAGCCCTGGAGCGGGAACAACCAGGAGCTGCTGGAGCCTGTGGTGACGGCGCCAAAAGTCGCGCAGGGAGTCAGCCCCAGCCCTGCTAGCAAACACACGCTTTTCGGTTTTCCCTCTTGTCCCACGGAGCAGTTGCTGTTGAGTCAA